ACCGTAAGGCCGAGGTCCAAAGCGGGCACATCGGGCGAAAGAGGGCGCCCGCGGCTACGTTTTGAGGCCATTTTGGCACCGCTCGGCCCCACGGTTTGGTCGTGAGGGGCAATAGTTTGACTTTTTTTCGGTGAACGCCTCTCAGAGGCTTTAACGAGCATAGTTAGAGTGAGGGGAAAATTCTAAGATTTTGTGATTTTCACTAAAACGTCAACAGCGATTGCGGGCAAACGGTGCGAGATCTGGCCTCGTGGCTCCGATATGACGGAGGCCCGTCTTTCGTGTCCCGTTCAATGTTCGAACGACGTCTTTCGGACGTCGTGGGCCAGAGCGATGAGGCCCTGACGGGCCTCATCTTTCGGCTTTTTTTTGTGCCCTTTTTTCTGCGTCCCCCATGCATTCCTATGGGAAAACGCTCGCCACTTTTTCGCCGTTTACTCGGAAACGCTCGCTCCTTTGAGAAAGTTTTTAACAAGCACGCATGGCTAGGTGGGTCCGAACGCGCGTGCCGACTTTGGGCCCGATCCGTCGAACCGTGCGGGACGAGAAGCGGTCCGCGGAAACGGGAGAACGATAATAAGGAGCGGAATAAGTATTTCGAAGAGTAATACGTGGTGGGCCGGCTAGGCCCACCGAGGTGGGCCATGCCGCAGGCGTGGCCCCCCTAATAATTTCCCTCTGGGATTATGTATATATACATATAGTTACATATACATTTATTTATTTAGATTTGTGTGGAATGCTGTATATGTATATATATATATATATATAGAGAGAGAGAGAGAGAGAGAGAGAGACATATAGACATGTATATATATGTATATATATTGTATATCTAGAGTTGGCTACAAAAATGATTCCCCTCTGGGATTATTAAAGTATTTCTGTTTCTGATTGGGTTACTGTGTGTAATTACGGCCACATAAGATTCTCCTCGTGGAGACGTAGATGAGAAGTGGTTCTTTGAAATGCCATTAAAAGCAACTTGTGACTGTAGCCAC